AATAAATATATCACCTGTAAAATCACTACACACATCTTCAAGAATCATATGCAAATTTCAGAAAGTAACCAAATGACACCGATGGTACTTCGACGAGAGTGTACGAGAATGATATATAAGGAATACAGGCAAAGAAGTAAAATTGCGCAGGCGCTTTATAAGCATTTCAGTACAATAACCGAATAGTTATGACACAAAGGACGCATTTGGATGATTTTTTACGTGGTAGAATTATCGGCCGTCTGGAATGTGGGCGTACCCAACTGGAAGTATCAGACGAACTTGGAATTGCGCCGAGTGTCATCTCCAGGCTTTGGCAACGATTCCAAGATGATGGTAATGTGAGTAGACGTTACAGCACAGGTCGCCCCAGAGTTACAACGCCGAATGAGGACCGGTGTTTGGCAGTTACTGCCGAAAGAAACAGGCGGAGCACAGCCTCAGACCTGTCTCGTCAGCTCTCTTCAGCCACTGGTACGACAATTTCAAGGCAGACCGTGTACAGACGCTTAGGGCAGATTGGTCTATATGCTCGTAGACCTGTCAGATGCGTTACACTTACTGCAACTCACTGTCGCCTGCGGTTAGCCTGGAGTAGAGAGCATGCATTGTGGACACCGCAACAGTGGGCTTGTCTGATGTTTTCCGACGAGTCCAGGTATAGCTTGCAGTCTGATTCTCGCCGGACTTTCATATGGAGAGCTCCAGGTACCCGTTACCACCAAGAAAACATCATTGAACGACACCGTTACGGTGGTGCAGGAGTGCTCGTTTGGGGTGGAATTATTTTGGGTTCCAGAACTGACCTGCATGTTCAAACTGGAACCATGACAAGCCAAATCTATCTGGACGTTATTCTGGAACAACATGTACGTTTGTTTCGGGGCGCCATGAGCGCACAATTTGTGTTTATAGATGACAACGCCCGTCCTCATCGTCCAAACATTGTAAGCGAATGCCTTCAATCGGAGGATATCACCCGTATGGACTGGCCAGCATTCTCACCGGACTTGAATCCAGTAGAGCACGTGTGGGACATGCTTGGCCGACGAGTTGCAGCCCGTCAACCTCCTCCTACATGTCTACCGGAACTTCAGAGGGCATTGCTTTTTGAGTGGTGTAATATCCCCCAAATATCAGATCGATAATTTGATACTCATCAAGCCTAGGCGTTGTACGAACTGTATTGCATCGTCTGGGAGACATACAATGTATTAACAATTATACCAACCATGTAATATTGGTTTTTTGTAAATAGGTTTTTTTTTGTAGTTTGCTCCAGGGAGGAAAAAATCGCTAATTTTTTAATAATATCAAACATATAGCATCTTTTTTTGCTCTTTACCTTTTGTTTAATAAATAAGCTTTACAAATAAGTCAAATTTGTTTTGCTTCTAACTTTTCCTTTGCCTGATTTTGCATTATCCTTGATTTATGGACATTAGTGTATTATTCTACATTGAGCCACATGCCTTGGGTTTTTCATCGTTTTTTAGTTTTTTTAAGTTGTAAATCTTCATTTATTATTTTATTCATTATTGCTAAGGATGTATTTAAAGGCTTTGCAATTGATTTCTGTGTAGGCAAATTTTTATCTTTTTTACCAACGATTTAACTATAGAAACATTAGAAATAGTATATACCGTTTTACGGGTATTCGTTTCGAGTCTTCTTTCAATGTAGAAGTAGACGATTCATCAATTTCGATGAATAATGTTGCTTATGTTGTACTTAGAAATTTTAATACCATGTATTTCACATCGTTATTGAATTATAGAATAGGAATATCTCTTCAGAAAGATCTTTATCCTTCAATACACAGCTTCTTTACATGCGACATTTAAAAAGAAGAATAAATGTTGCAGACGATATTTCTCATTTCAAACAATATGCTATTTCCAGAAATTTGTGTTCCAAAACATTTGCTTTTTTAAAATTCTTTATCGAAATTATTTTAAAAATGTGTAAACACACTTCGTATTGAATTTCGGATGGAATTTGCTGTTAATTAGTAATGTCTTGCTATATTCACTTCAGATTTGTAAACATTAACATTTTTACTAAACAAGAAATAATTTACAAAAGCACGAAATAAATCTTGCAATGTATTTTCATTTAAAAGAAAACCAACCCCCCCCCAAAAAAATTATAGCAAGGAACATTATCTTCAAAATATTTCAACAAAATTTGGAGTCTAAGAATTTATTATGGTAGCTGTTGATAAAGACTTTTCAACTGATTATTTCATTACAAAGAATATTCTGATGATATTTATTTTACAGCAAGCAAGGCTTAGAAAAAATTAGTATATTGGAAACAAATTTGAAGCCTGTGTTTCACAAAATACAGGTGCCCGAAAACAATTGTGAGTCATTTTAATTAGGAATCCCGGACTACATCTGAGCTGATCGCGGGGGTTGGTCAAGTAATCCTATTTAAAGATCAAAATTCCGCAATGATTAATTTTTTTGCATTATTTGTGTTTATTGTTCAACTTGCATTATTAATTGTAACATCAGCTATAATAATTTGATTCTTCTCGTCTTCTTCAACAGTCCAATCAGATCCTAGCTTATTCATCAGTCAGACCCGCTTCTCCGATTTCAGGCTTCAAGGCCCCCTTTCTTTCTTCTTGCCTCCATTTCTCCTTAGGCCCACCAGCGGCCGAGCGGTAAAGTCGCTGAACACTGGTAGTTCGGTCCGAGGTTCGAATCCCGCGAACGGGCTGGCTGCATGGGCGTTTTCGTGGTTTTCCCCATGTGTAACGTGTATACGAGCCAGTTTCCCTTAGAAAGTCCTCCACGAAGGCATCCCTACCCTTAGGCAGATAGCCCTCGAGGCTTTGCCATAATCACACACACACCATTTCTCCTTAGAGAGATTACCATGCCAGGAAACTCTTATCTGCATGCACCTTTTAGGCTTCATTCTCACTGAGCCGGCAGAATTACACTTTTGTGTAATAGTTCCGGCGATATGTTTATAAGTTGAAATTGAGTGATTAATTTGAACTTTAACAAGGCTGTATAAGGAAATTTCAAGAGTAATGAATTGGATATTGAACTACAAAACATTTGAATGTTTTCAGATTTTAACTGTCGCTCAAAAGTTAATATTTTTTACGCTCTCATTTGAGTGTGCAGTCCACTGATCTACTATTGCACTCACGCCCACTAAACTACTTTTTTTTTTTTTTTACTTATACCATATACAATTCAACAGCAAAATCCCAAAATTTTTAAAAGCAATAGGATAGAATATTTTAGAATTCCCGATACAGTATTACGTGTTGTCAGGCACTTTTCTATTTTTCTCAGTTCATATTATTCAAGTTTTCTTAGTAAGATAGGTCACCGAACTTTTGTTTTGTATCTTTTTATTAATAACGTTTTGTATGTTAACTTTATTTATTAAATATCACGTTCTTACGCTACATAAATTTCAATTCAACAGCAAAATCATAAAATATTTAAAAACAGCATATCTTTAGAATTCCCGCTAGAACATTACAGGCTGTCATATATATTTTTTATACTCACCATATTGTTTCTTTAAAAACTAGCCGCTTAAAATAGTTATCATGAAAAGAGAAAGTATATAACTATTTCAATGGATCTAACTAATATAATTTCACAAAAAATATTAAATATTTCTAATTAGACATCTCATTTTAATACATTTTTATTTAAATCAACCTAATTAACAAGTAGAAAAACTATTCTTAAGAGCTGTGTTTATTGCTTTTAAATTGCTTAGTTTATTAGTCAGTAAACTTCTAGATTAAATTTGAAAGTATCTTAGGCTTTATTCAATGGCAACATGTTGGTGCGTGGATGGTAAAAGCATTTTATTTCCAATCTCCGCAACACATTGCTTTCATAAAGCCGAGTTTTTTAATTAAAACTGAAAAATAAATATCTTACATTTTTTCGAATGGGAACAGTCTCGCGCGATGAAGATAAAAAATGTTTTATTTCTAAAAGGTTTGCCATTGCTCGCTTTCAAATCGTTGAATTTGTTAATTAGAAATTCATTAAAGATTTTCAAAATATGAAATAAATAATAAAACAAATTCCAAATTCGGGCTTCCAAGTGCCCATATTAGGGTGAAGCACTACGTTATTCAAAACTGGATGGCTCTATAGGTACCGTCGTTTTCTCAAAATGCGAGGGATATGCATACACACATGGAGATTTTTCATTATTTAATTCCTTTAAAACTAATACAGGGCGATAATATTTGGTGGCAACACTTTGAAAAGTGATTCGCCGTTTATAGTGAACCAACGCAAAATCCCAATTCCAGACTAATATCCCTTTTTGGGCTAAAAACGATCTACATTTAATAATTTTGAACATTTTATTTTCAAACATTAATCGTTAATATAATATTAATTTGTAATTGAAATAAGTATGATTTGTAAAGTATCAGTACCGTATTTTGAAAAAAAAAAAAAAAAAAAAAAAAAAAAAAAAAAAAAAAATCCTCTGTAAAAATTCTATGTTGCCATCTCAGATTCGTTTATGAGAAAATAATTCATGAAAATCGGATAGATAAAAAAGGTTAAAAACTAATTTCAGTGTTTAACACAAAGAAACAGAGCATTTAAGTTAAATAAAATCGCATAGTTACTATTCGAATACAGCTACTTCATTGAATATTCAATAACTTAAATTATTCTATCGAATTTCGATGGGATGCAAAATCCGCATCCTTGGAATATTTGAGTAACAAAGTATACTCATATTCACTACTCAAGTGAAACCTTTAAGTGAAAACAGTTTCGAAACATTCAATTTTCCAGTCATGGCTTTCTCCTGGCACTATGGGTAACAACAAACGAACTAAACATTGAGGGTTTTCCCACCTTCGAAAATGAGGGCGAGCGAAAAAACTATGACGTCATTCGGAGGACCCTAACGTTATTTCTTCATTCACCTTTCCGTTTCTTGTCTTCCCCCATCGCAGTGCGATGACCCGTTTTCGAAGTTTGCCTCCAAGTATATAAGAAGTTTATCTAGGCCATTCTTTAACATACACCGTTTGGCATCACATCAACAGAAATGAAAACAGATCGAAGTATTTGAATTGAAACCTGAGTTACTTTATATTCGCCCTTTGTGATTTAACATCTGTTTACCAGGTAATTTTATTTGTTTGTTTGTTTTGTATTAATGTTTATACCATCTGAACATCTCACAGTAGCATACATATAAATAATGCTTCTTTAAATTAAGTTATATAATGCCAGTTATCCGAATTATTCATATTAGAATTAAATTTCTTCTCTAGATCGAATTTTAATGTCATGAATTAATGCGAAGTGATTTTGATTATTTTAACGATATTTTCAGGTTTTTATTTTTTAATAATCCTTAATTTTAAGGATTTAAAAAATTAGAAGAAAAGGCTTAAAAATCTGTTGAGATATTTTGATATTTTAATGAATTTAATGTTTGTACGAAAACATCTTTATCGAATTCCAATACAGAATTTTTTTTTCTCCGGAAAGCTATTTTTAAATAATTTGGTAATTTTAAAAGCTGTGCTTTATAAATAAATAAATTTTGCTTAACAAAAAAACTCCGCTAAATGTCGGGCGAATTTAATTATTGGAACTATTAATGCTAAGAGATTTGCTACTCAATTTATTTGACAGTTACGTAGATTCTTTTCCTACAAACAAACGCTCGAAAAAATTTTCGAAGTGACAAATTTTATGTATTGCTCTTCCGTGGATTCGCAGTCAGGCGCGTTATCCGTTGCGCCACTGGCCCACACTTTCTTCTGTGGATATTAAGTAACAGTATTCATACCATACTGGTGATGTCTACCATGCTGACTTGCGTAAAAACTGTCTCTGCTAACTGTCACAAAGACCTGGGAAGGAACTGTTTATTAAAAATGATATTAAATATCATATAAACGCTTAAAAGATAATCTAATTCATCATTTGATGAAGATTTTCGTCTGCAAATTCGAAATCTATTAATGAAACTGAACGTAATGGATTTTTCAACTTCCCGTGGAAAGTTGCTATAAATTTCGGTTAGCACGTTTCCGCTTAATGAAGCTCCAATAATCAAAATTCCATTGCAGTTAGAAAGGAGAAAAACTATATGAAAAGATAAATTAAAAATGCTTATTTTTTTAGTAGAAATAAAATCAAAGTTTTTCTTAGACTGTTATTTTTTCCCCCGGGATTTAAAAGATATTACTATTCTTCCCCCCATATCGTATATGGTTTTGCAAAACAGATAATAAATTTTGAACAGACTCTGGTTTTTGATTAGAATTTAATACTGCACAGAAATTGTTTTTCTCCATCTTCAAAATTCTATACGATATTTTATTTATTTATTTATTTATATTTAGCGTTGATTTTTCCTCGTATACCCTTTCTTAGTGATGAAACAATGCAAAACAAAGCAGAATTTCGACTATCGCATAGGTTAAAAATGATTTTTCAAGTGGCCTTTTTTTCGTAATCTCTTTAATTCATTAAATTTTGGCAATTTTTCAAAAATCTTTCCATATATTAAATCATGCAACCAATGATAAATCTCTAAAAACAATAAATAATTTAATCTTTCGTTGTTAATGTCCATGCAATTTTAAAGGATGATGAAATCGAATGTATGAATCGAACAGAAATTTAAATAAATTGAACGTAATCTAAGACCATGGGATTGATCGGAAGATCTTGAAAGAAGAAATGATACTCCATATAGTTCTTTGTAATACTGATTAGGAGAAATAATTTTTTACCAGCTGCGATGATTTTCATTCTTTGTTTTTATTTTTTCCCCTCATAAAATAGAAAAGTATAAAACAAATTTTAAAAGTTTTTTAAATTTCACGGTTTTATTTAAGTGCATTAAACGATAATTTTTGTTATAATATTTTTAGTCATAAATTATTATCCAGTTATTTTAGAGTAGGCTCGTCAAGGTCATTCTCCCCTTCCGATTTGCCTCATAGCTATGGTAAAGACAGCTGTGGAAGAGGGTAGAATCTTCCACAGCTTTCATTTTTTTTTTTTTCTACTTTGTTTCCGCCTAGTGTGTTTTGCTTCATGTAAAGTGCACAAGTAAAGACTGGTTTAAATTATAGTCTCAATTGAAGTGAAGAAAATAACTGAGATGTGGAGCTAACGACATGTGTTAGTATCGTAAATGAGGGATAGTCATGAATACTTGAAATGTCTACTATAAAGTAAAAGACTCTAAATATTAAGGTATCAGATGCCTATACAGTGTCAAAATATATAAAAAATATAACACATTTAAAAGCTCAATATCTTTATAATGCTTTATGATCGTGAAATTTTGTATACTTATTTCGAAATTCTTGATCGTGTATTTGCTCTTCTACTTTATGTTTCAAATATTAAAATAGTTTAAATAAAATATAAATAAAGTACATTTTCTCGTCATGGACATAAAATTGTAATTAATACTTCACGCAGCATTGTGGATAAACACTTTACTATTTTTAGCTGATTTACTTTCCTTCTAAATTGAAAAAATCTTATATTAGAAAAGTGGATGAGAAAAGAAAATGTGCGCACTCAAGTGATCTTACAAAGTTTCAAACTGAAAAACCTCTTTCATTCCGTCCCCCCGCATCGTGAAGGAGCGACCAAATCTTACGGAAAGTATATACGGTGTACTTATCGCATCAGGTGAAAGCGCATTGCTTAGCATTAAATTTGGCACCATTTGTTATTAAGTTTTAGACATTATTATATTAAGACACAATAACACGCCGAATAAATACTAATTCAGAAGTCAAACAACAAAAATCAGCGTTAATTTACAAAATTTTCACAGTGAAGATTTTGTGAAAATTTTGTAATTTATTTTGATAAATTTTAATTTACTGTGAAAATTTTGTAAATTAACGCTGATTTTTGTTGTTTGACTTCTGAATTAGTATTATTATATTGTTTAACAATCTTTTTCCTCGAAACATTATATACAATGAAATCTTTAATTAATTTCATGAATTGAATTATGTTAACTTGCCTGCTCGTCGTTGCGCAAAGGACCATGGACAAAATCAACATGGATTCACCTCCGTTTATCTCTATTTAATATTATTTATTGTTTAATTTCGTTTAACCTTAGTCAACGAGTTTCAAAATGCATATACAACTTTAAAAGTTGGGTTTATTCTCTACTTTTTAATTCTTCCATTCTCATTCACGTGCGATTCATACCGAGGCGAGTTTCATGCATTCGCTTTGAACCGGGGGCTTATTAACCCTTTGACTGCTATGAGCGCATATATGTATCTAGCAAAAACCATCGGTGTCGCCTATGGGATCATATTTTTGTGCGTCGAAAGTTTGACTGTTTACTGCTATCTCGTGTATGTTCGGAAATGATTTCTCTCGTGTATCTCCAACACTCGCAAAAACCTCGTTCGCTAGTTTGCTTCAGCTTAGAGCAATGTCAGGCAAAGAGTTAATATCGTATAATTAAAATGATCTAATTTAATAATAATCGAACTATTTTTTCATAAAAAAATAAAAAAATTTTAATTTCGAGACTCGCAAATCTACTTTTTCTTTAAAACATAAAAATTAAAGGTAATTTCTAAAATTCTCACGTGAGAAGCATAATATTCGGTTCCTCTTCGATCAGATAGGGTTTACACAACTTGTCAAGTTTTTTTGAAGTTCTGACCTAAGGTTTCGGAGGAATCATACGTGCAAGCGGGCAAATTATAGTTTCAAGAAAAATGCTTAGCTTCGTAACCAAATTGATTACCACCAGCTCCTATAAATGCATAATATTTTCTCAATATTAATAAAGATATATATATCAGAATGCATTTAAAGTTTGTGAGCATGCGTAATTATACATTTAAACCCTATTGAGTACAAAACCACTTTAATTTTAATTAAGGCAATGAAAAGTGACGAGTCGAAATTTTCATGTAATTTCAAATTTAATTATATTTTTAAAAGTTCTGACGTCAGAAGCACAATAATTAGCCCTTTTATACAGATACTGTGTTTAGATTAGGAGTTCTCAAGCTTTTTTGCTCCATTGCCCGTTCATCATTGTTTGAAGATCATTTACCCTCTCCTTTCGAAAAGTTGAAAAATAAATATATGTATTTATCTAGATTTAAGAGAATTTTTTAAGGTATTTCATAAATTAAACAAGAAAAAGTGTAGAAAAGTTTGATAAATACCAAAACTGGAACAAAAGTAGTTATTTATATTCCTAAATTAAAATAAATACTTAACAGGTAAATTAAAGGCTGACCACATTCACCCCTAAAGCTATGAAATTTTCGCAAAAGGGAGAAGGTCCTCCCCTCCCTCTGGTTGAGAAAGAACCATGGTTTAGGTATTCAATCGAAGTTTCCTCGAAACTAATCGGCCGGTTCAGATAAATCATGAACGCAATAGGGAAAATCACGTTTTCATAAAATCGGAATTGAGAAAGAAATTAGCTTGAAATCTTCTTAAATATATTATATTTTCTTAAAATTAATAGATAACTTTGCTAAAGCTAACCTTTCCATTATTTATAAATATATATTATGTAAAATTGCATAGAGAAATATATTATGCATTTAGTTGAGGCGATTTTATCCGAGGAATTTGATGAAATGTAAAATATAAACAAAAACCATCTTTGCCCTTTAAATGGCAAATGCTTAGAACTGCTCTTTTTTCACCATGATTTGGGTTCTAGAGAGAATTTTTACGTGGGGTTTGCTTTAAAATGCTTATAAGAAATCAGATTTAAATATAAAGGAATAAAATTTCGATTTTTAAAAAAATAATCAAAGTTACCTGACTTCTTAAAATTTTCTGGCATTCATATGAGAATTTTATTAGTGCACTCACAGAATTTCCAAGAATTCTAAGAGCAATAATATAGAAATGATATACAAGACAAATTTCGTAATGAAATTTGTCAAATTTCTCTTTGACAACTTTTATTTAAAATTTGTTATCGTTAGTAACTCAGGGTTCAGACTGTTGATAAACAATACGCAAATGCTTCATTTAGACTAGAGTACGCAATATATATAGTAGAAGAAATATATTTTATAGCTTATTATTAATTCAGAAGTTTACAAAAATTACTTGTTAGGTGTTTTATTAATTATTTCAGTTAG